TTTAGAATGGAGAGCTCCCAATTTTAGATATTTATCATCTCATATTATGCGATGTGCAATTTTTAATTAAGATTTTTTTGGTTAATATTTTTGGTTAATATTTTTGGTCATATTTTGAAATTGGAAAAATTAATTTATGACAAGAAATCTCGGATGACAACCTAATTTACTAAACATCGACCAAAATGTTAATATATATATTAAATTAAATAATAAGAGAGGGGGGGGGGTTGTCTTATTGTTACATTCATAAACTAGAGATCACTTGGTTATGGATAGATGTAGCAAAACAATTAAAGAATTAATTTTTTTTTTATAAAAAACTAAACGTTTTAGTAATATAGTGAGATCTAAAATATAATATAGAAGAAAAAGAAAAGTATATAATTGGATTGTATATTTTTAGTTATATTTATTTTACTTTTTAGTTTGTATTTATTTTTATTTTATAATTATTATTTGAAACTATATCATTTAATAAATTAATTTGGTATTCTCATGATTTTAATAATTATTAATTAAATTTGGAGTGAAAAATGAATTTCTTTTCCATTCAAAACATTTCAATTATCATGAATATTATTCGATTAATAATAAATAAAATAAAAAATTCGAATATTATATAGATTAATATTATTTTTTTAAATATTAATATTTTGTGGTTTATAGTTTTATTGTCTTTCTTCCAATGACTTCACTAGCATTTACAATCTCAGAATATTCAAAAAAATTTATTTTTAAAAATTACATCCTATTTTTAGATCTACAAGTTGACCTTTTTCCTTTTTTTTAGGATTATAATTTTCAAAATTTTTAGTGGACTCTTCAAACTTATCAGGAGGGTTCGAGTCCCTGTGTGGCTTCAATCCTTTGGTTACGCTATTACTTGCATTTAATATTGTTTTACGAAATGATTGACAGGGACAGTTAATCTAATTATATAAATCTCCAATTGTGTAAGTATATTTCCTATTATAATCGTTAATTTTGCTTTATTTGCTGTTTGTTAATAACAGATAAAATATTAGCTTAATTTTAACCTATCTTACCAGGCAAAATTTTAGGGAAAAAATTGTCTACCCGGCTCAAATATTTTTAACACTCTCCCGCTATAATATTTAAACATTTTGATTTTTTTATTCATTTTATACTATTCGGAAGTCTGCGAAAGTATCATTTGCAAGATCTGGTCCTAATTTTTTTTTTTTAATGGCCCGGTCCTGCCCCGGTATTTTCAAGGCCCTGCCCGAATTTAATTAAATTATATTACATCGATTTTTAATTTTTATATCTAATAATGGCGATTCGAAATTAACTTTTTTAAATATACAGCCACGGCCTGGATATATTTTAAAAAAAATTAAAATATACCTTTGCCAGGGCCGGTGGGTGCCTAATATTTTTACTTATTTGTAAAACATGAAATATTTATGAAATAAAAGAAATTTAAATATTAGCCATTCCAAATTGTTCCCATCTCTTAAAGTATTTTAAACTAGCTTGCCTGCCTCTTATTTTTAAAAATATTATTTCGTATGCCCGCCCACAATAATAATACTTGGGTGCTTTTTTTATAAACTTTACTTACTAATTTCTGTGAAATTTATTTATTATGTTTACTATTATTTTTTTAGAATAATTAAATAATTACGTTAGTAAATCAAATTTTTTTTTTATAATTATAATAAATTAAAATAAAGGTCGTTAAATTATTCAACAAATATTCGAATTTATTCGTTCAACAAATGAATATTAGTATGAATGAATCGAATGTCGGATAATGACTGAATCGAATATCGGATAATGACTGAAATTCGAATGCGAATAATTTTTGGTTTCTTTGAAAATTTGTAAAAAGATTATATTCTAAATGCCCAGTTATATACAAAAAAATTATAAAGTGCTTATAAAGTAATTAGTTATTATTTAAATGTAACTGAAATCAGTCAAACGTGTCTAATATGGGCAATGTTGGGACGAATATTTTTACCCAAATTAAACTGTTGTCCAATTTATCAAGTTCTTTTTTACTTTTTAAGAAAGAAACATTTTACCATGTGTTATATTTTTAGTTTAGTAAATATCAAGATTATTTATTAAATTATATTCAAATAATTTAATTTTATATTAAATTTTTTAGCACATTCTCTTTGAGTATGCTAATTTAGATGATTTATAATTAACGATAACTTTGTTATATCTGTTTTCTTAATGAATTTTGTTTATTTGACATTAATAGTTTTAAAAATATGAAAAATTAATCAATGAAGCAAAAAATATTGCTCAATTTATAAAAGCATTTCCTAATAGTTGTTAATGCTTTAAATCTTGGGAAAATTAGGAAGTTTCCTGAATATCACGAGCCTAAATTAGACAGGTTTGAATGTAGTTGCAAGTTACTTTTAAAAATATAACCAGCAACTATATTTATTTCTTCAGTAATTTATTCGTAATATCAAGTATTTTATAAATTTCAAACAATTAATAATTAATAAGAACTGTTTAATTTTTCGAAGAAATTGACCTAAAATATAACATAATGTTAAATACACATAAACGCCACTTTGCGGATGTAAAATTACACTTTCCCATTTATATTATCTTTATTAAATTAATTATTAATATATAAACCATAATAGGCTAAATAAAATATTTAAACCATCTATCTATAGGTTAAATGAAATTATAATATATTAATTTCCATTATTTTTATTATAAAGTTCGTATATATGAATAGTAATACTAATATTTATTTACCTCTTCATTGTATACGATTAATTTTAAAAGTAATTGACTTTCTGTAAAGTTTGTAGCTAACTTTGGTATTGATTGATATGAAGATAATTATTCTTTTTTAATTGTAAATTTTTAAATTAAAAAAATAACATATAAAAGAGACATGCAGAGGTACCATTTGTAGTTCGGGATTTAGGTCCCGGCCCGGGTTTTATATTTTTATAACCCGGCCCGGATTTTTATTTTAAATAAATTTTACAGCGGGTCCGGATTTTTTAAATAACACATTTAATTTATTTTTAATTTTTATAGATAGTGTGGATTTAAAATATTCGGATTTAAAATATACGGCCAGGTCCATCATTGGGTATTAAAAAAAATAGTGCCCGTCTCTGCTATATGTATATTAAAAATTTACACATAAAGCTATTTAAAACATGAAAAATATTATTTAAAGAAGAACAATTATAAATAATATTTCTAAAATAACGTGTAAATAAATTAAAAGGGAGATTGCTAGCAGGATGATGTAGCTACTTTGGGGACAAAGTGGTTATCACCCATTAGGTAGAAATACATTGGGCATTTTAATGACTCAGCCCTGAGAAGAGGGCCGTGTATAATATAAGCAGGGGGCATATGCAAGTAAAATCCCGGACCAAAGTATTGCCTGATACAAATGGGACTATTGTTTTGCGTCACGGCGTTTTTTTTTATCTATGCAAGAATGTTGGTTCATGAATGCAATAGAGATTTGCCTTATTGTTATGTCGATTAATTTTTGATATGAATTTATAATCGAGTGCATGGCATCCAAAACAGTCAGCGACCTTATTGCATTTCGTGTATTGGTTTAAAAAATGGTATGCCCAGGCGCAAACTGCTTGCATAAAAGAGTCGTTGGGATACTGGGGTAGTAAAGATCTTGTAATTTTTTACAAAATATTTTATCTAACAATACTATGGATCCATGATAGGAATTCCATTTGTGGTATTAGGGCATATCAAATATTTTCCCAATTTTTTAATTATACTATCGGCCATATTTGTGGACATATTTTGTTTATTCCCAAAAAAGACTGACACTTTTGAAATTAGCCTTGGGATATAATTTTATATCTTCGACTTTCTAAAACCTTCTCTGCATCAACTGTGGCCACTAGATTAATATTATGGCAGGCCCATCATGAATGTTAATGTAGATATAGACACCTTGAAAATAATCATCCATTTTGGATCTTTTCCCCCAAATATCCTAAAAAATAAAACGAAGATTATATATGAACTTAAAATTATTAATTTAAAATAACCCAAAAGCCGTCACAAAGTTTATAACAATTATATTACCTTATTCTGGATTTTGAAACTCTCCAGTACTGTATGTAATAATAATTTTGGCTAAGTCATCATATGTGTACCTTTAACATGTTTTAATAAATAAATAAAACGAAATGATACTAATATTTTAGTTAGCTTTTGTATTACAAATGTTGGAAGAAACATACAAATAGTTAGGAGAGGGATGGGTTTGAAGGTTATTGGTAGAGAAGATCTCTAAACATTTTTAATGTGCCCCTTTACGCTGGGAATTTTAAACAATTTTGCCTTGAGAGCTTTAGAACTGTTCCTATTTATAAATGCGCAAATGTTTATGGAAGATAGGATGGTGGTAATATTCTACACATGTTGTAATACACTTGGTTAATTCGGTTTTTTTTTTTTAAATTACAAAATCGCTCTCGGCATAAGATCTAAAATAGAGAGCTTTCAAATTCCCGTCCCAAATCGCGACATAATATAATTAGATGCATACATAATATGGATGAGGAGAAATATTATTGGTTGTTCATCTTCAAATACATTGCTTATACCAAAGGACTATTATTTGTCACATATTACGGCAAATAAAAAAAAAGAACTTATTACTCTATTGAATTCACAATTTTAATTAGTATTTTATAATCAAACAAAATGTTCTTAAAACTCTTAATTCTTGTGGCAATATATTTTTTTTTTGGTTATAATAGTTATACCTCTTTCAGATTTTATTTTTAAACAAGAAAAATAATATTTGAATATATCTTGTGAAATTCATATGTAAATTTTTTGTTTACTTTTGACATCGAACCTTAATATTTTAATTACTAAATTAAAATGACAAATAAAATAAACATAATAGATATATTATAAAGGGATCAATTTTAAAAAAAAAATTTTCTTTTTGAATATAATTTTGAAAACTTTCAAATAATTAAAATATAAAAATGAAGATAAAACCTGAAAGTGGTGGTCATCCAGCTCACGATTCTAACCTGTCTATTCTAGCCAGTGCTGACAATCAATTTACGATAGACGTCTTGAAGACTTTACTAATACATGACACAAAGGGTGAGAAAAAAAATGTATTTCACCGTTCAATGCTTCTCAAGCCCTTTCAATGCTTCTGTTCGGATCCAAAGCTAAAACTTTCACTCAATTAGCGCAGACTTTACATTACGATAAAATTTGGAAGGACATCTCCTCGTTGACGCCCAAAAATCGGGAAATGCTTCATATAACTATTAAAGAAATGAACGCGGCCTTAACCAAATTGTCCAAACACGTCACGCTTGATATTGGGAATGGTTTATATCCTGATAGCACGTTTCCACTGGATTCTCATTATTTGGAAGTCATTAAGGGAACGTACAAGGCCATAGTTCACAATTTGAACTTTGCGAAAGATCCAAGACAAGCAGAAAAGGTTATAAATGAGGATGTGGCCCACGCTACAAAAGGTATGATAAAAAATTTATTGCCCCCTAATAGTTTGGATAGCTCTACTCGTATGGTATTGACTAGCACGATTTATTTCAAAGGAGATTGGCACGAAAAATTTGATCATAGGTTATATATTAATTCCTATCTATATCTATACCTGATATCTATATACATGTCTAAGCTAGTTATAAGGGAAACACTTAATATTTATATTCAAATTATATAATTTTACTTAACATTAAAAAAAAAAGCTTGACGCAAAAAATGCCCTTTACAAGTGATGACGGTCACACGCAAGAAATACCTATGATGCAAGGCTTTAAATCAGTCAACTATGCTAAAATCAATTTTTCGGACCATGTTGGACAGGAAGTGGAGGTATTGAGGTTAGATTATAAGGATGAAGAATTGGGCATGTTTTTCGTATTGCCCAGGCAAAATGGTTTGAAACAATTTATTCAAGACTTGCGGAAAGGTTGAATAAGCTAGTTAAGGATTTGCATTTGGAAAATAAAATTTGGATATCTATTCCCGTGTTCAAGATTGGCTACGAGACGGAACTCAGCGAAACTTTACAAGCACTAGGAACGCTCGATATATTTGGGTATTATTTTAATATAAATAAATTGGTTATTCAAATTATTATTTATATAATAGTGACAACGCGGATCTATCTGGTATTTCTGGTAATATCGAAGAAAAACTTAGCTTGACCCAGGTGTATCATAAAGCTTTCATAGAAGTCAATGAGGAAGGAAGCAAAGCCGGTGCCGCTACTGGTGAAGTGGTCGAACCTACATCGGAGCATGACCCTGTTCAGTTTATAGCCGACAAGCCTTTTATATATTTTATAATGGATTTGGTTAATGGCTGCATACTTTTTATTGGCACATTTGCCTCGCCTTAAAAAGAAAAATATACAATATACTACATATGAATTTAAACCCAGTTGCATAGCTTATATTTATTAAAACATTTTCATTTCTAATTCTTTTTATTTTCGATATTTTTTGCAAACTTACTATTAAATGTTTTAAAATAAAATAAGTGAAAAATTGATAAATTGTGCATTTGATAAACCTCACTTGAAACAACATGAATTTATTAAGAGGTGTGTCTATAAATTCTTGCAAATAGCTGGGACAAACTGTAAAGCAAATACGAATTATACTTTGGGGGTTAGAGTTGCAAAAAATATTCTTAAACATTGCTCGGCTATTCTATTTTTTTATTCAACCCAAATGTTGAATTTTGACAATATTTAACAATCTCCCGTTTTCCCGAATCCTATTCTTAAAATATGTTTAATCGAAAAAATGAACAATTTGGCGTGGAAAAGAATATTTTGTATTTTCCACAAAAATGGAATGTTCCACTCACTGGAATCATTTTTACTTACGGCTTTTGTCGAAAATTTATGCACAAAATATGACATCAATTGACTTGTCATATGGCTTGTATTATTAGAAAAACTTTGATTTTTAATGATTTAGATAAAGGGTCGATTAACTCACGAAAGTTTAATAGTTAATTTCTCTATAATTAAAGAAGGTATTTTGAAATTTTATTCTAGAAGAAGTCTTAAATTTTCCTGCTATCTTCACTATTTAGATAGCGCTATTAATAAAACTTTTACCAATGCAAATTTCTACTTTTCCTTAGGCATTAGATCCCACAATATTATTATATAGAATTTATTTGGAAGGGAGTTGATAGCATTTACTAGTGTATCTATGAAAGCTAATCTATCTCAAAATCCTCTCTTTCGGATATGTTTATGAATTATTCAATGAACTAATGTAACCGTTTGTTGATGAGAAATATGATCCCTGTCCAGCTTTTGCAAGCTTTTCCCGAACTGATAATAATGAAGTCGTTAAAAATAGCCGCCGTGTTATAACCTTGGCAATGTGTTTCTTGGATACCAATAATATAAATTTTTTCCTCTACTAATAACCTTAACAGGACTGCTAAATAGTTCCTAAAGCCAATTCAGATATGAGATTTTTTAACATGACCTTAAAACCATTCCCCAATAGCATAGATTATATTTTGGAAAATCAAATGTTAATGGAAGTTATCAGAAGAATAGTGAAGGAAAATTTAGTTTAAAAAAAATTAAGCCTGACATTATAATTATTTAGTAGGATAAGTATCATATTATACTTTTCAAAAATTTTTTTGTTGTGTTTTAATTTTTCTTGGCATGCACCCGTTTTGCGAGTGAGGTGTTTCGGAAAATATATGAATAAAATTAAGTAAACACGGCTACATTTTGCTTTAAAAAACACATTGATAACCGCTAAAACGGTAGCGGGAGCTAGTTCCTTTCTAACGCCGCTACTTAGCCGATCCTTTAATTTTATTGCATAAAGTATTTTAAAAATATAATCTTAAATTTGTTGAATGAAATAACAATAAGAATAAAAATATATTTATTTAAATATACGAAACTGTTTAATATATCGAAAAATTGAGTGGAGGGAGGTATTGTTAAAAAACTTAATGAAGACTTTCGGGTTATTCTAAATTAAAAAAATTTAAGATTATATATAAACTTTATTTTTTAGGATATTTGGGGATAAAAGATCCGAAATGGATGATTATTTTTAAGGTGTCGATAACAATGATATCCTGGTTAACAGAGTAGTAGAAGTTGATCATTTTCTACATTAACATTCATGATGTGCTTGCCATAATATTAATCTAGTGGCTACAGTTGATGCAGAGAAGGTTTTGGAAAATCGAAGCTATAAAATTATATCCCAAAACTAATTTCAAAAGTGTCAGTTTTTTTTTTTGGAATAATCAAAATATGTCCTCAAATGGCAGATAGTATAATTAAAAAAATTGAGAAAATATTTGATATGTGCTAATACCACAAATGGAATTCCTATTATGAATCCATGGTATTGTTAGGATAAAATATTTTGCAAAATATTGCAAGATCTTAGTATGTAAAGGTTGGGCGCATGGATCCTGTGCCAAAAAAGATTGTTATTTTATATGTTATAATCGTAAATAGAACATTATATAAATAAAGAATTATAGTTATATATTAAAATCTAAAAAAAAATTTTTTTGACCTTTACTAAAACCTTTTTAGAGAAAAAAAATAACAGCATATATTTATAGATAGATGTTTAAGGTATCGATTGGTATTTTGTAAGATTCTATATGATTATTATTTTCGGAGCTATGATGATTTTGACAAAAATTGCGCCGACTAGCCCTGGTCTCCCCTACCCCAATTAGTGTTATTAAACTACTATCTTTAGTCAACTATAACACGGCGTAGCCATATTTATATCCAGAATTATTCTAATCAATCTTCAAGGCTCAACTTAGAAGCTTAATTCAATTTTTTTTAATCTAAAAGCTTGATTAAGACACAATAGAGATGGTCAAAGCTAGGTAATTTAACAACACTAACCCCAATATCTCAAATAATTAACTAATAAATTACGACTCTTTTATGCAAGCAGTTTGCCCCCTGGGCATACCATTTTTAAACCAATACGCGAAATGCAATCAAATTTCTGGTTTTTGATGCCATTCACTCTATTGTGAATTCAAATTGACAAACCTAATAAGGCAAATCTCCATTGCATTCTTGAACCAACCAACATTCTGCAAAGATAAAAAAAAACGCCCTGACGGCAAAACTATAGTGCCATTTGTATCAGGCAAACCTTTGGTCCAGGATTTTACTTGCATGTGCCACCTTGCCACTGCTAATATTATACATGACCCTCTTCTTAGGGCTGAGTCATTTAATGCCCAAAATATTTCTACCTAACGGGAGATAACCACTTTGTCCCTAAAATAGCTACATCATCCTGCTCCTTTGGGCAAGACGGTTGCGTAATCCATAAGGAAAAAAACATATCATTCTCCTTTTTATGAACATTAACTAAACAATGCCTATTACAATTATTCCCAATTATTCAATGTTAAAAAATTCGAATCATTCCTTTAGCAATCTCATTTTAATTTATTTACACGTTTTTTTTAAAAAAAAATAATTTATATTTGTTCTTCTTTAAATAATATTTTTCATGTTTTTTAGATTTATGTGTAAATTTATAATGTATATCAGAGACGGTCACTATTTTTTTTGATACCCTAGGGTGGACCTGGCCGTATATTTTAAATCCGAATATTTAAAATCCACACTATCCATAAAAATTAATAATAAAAGTAATATATAAATCCGGCCGGGCCAGAAAATTTATTTAAAATAAAAATCCGGGCCGGGTTATAAAAATAATCCCGAACTACAAATGGAACCTCTGCATGTCTCTTGTATATATTATTTTTTTAATTTTAAAAATTAACACTAAAAAATTTTAAAAGAATTTTTATCTTCATATCAATCAATACCAAAGTTAGCTACAAACTTTACAGCAAGTCAATTACTTTTAAAATGAGTCGTATACAATGAAGAGTCTAAATAAATATAAAAGTAATGGAAATTAGTATATTATAATTTTCATTTAACCTATGGATAGATGGTTTAAATTAATTTATTATAATTTTATTTAACCTATTGATAGCTGGTTTATATATTTTAATAATTAATATAATAAAGATAATAAAAATGGGAAAGGGTAATTTATCATCCGCAAAGTGGCGTTCATGTGTATTCATTATTATAACTATTTTAGGTCAATTTCTTCGAAAAATTAAACATTTCATATTAATTATTAATTGCTTATTCTGAAATTTTTACAAACTTGATATTTCGAATAAATAACTGAAAAATGAAATATAGTTGCTGGTTATATTTTGAAAAGCAACTTGCAACTACCTTCAAACCTGTCTAATTAGGGCTCATGATTCTAAGGAAACTCTCTAATTTGCATAAGATTTTGATCCAAAACAAATTCCTATTAACAACTATTAGGAAATGCTATTATAAATTGGGCACCTACTTTTAAAAGTGGGGGTTTGTTTGTTTATTTTTTTGCTTCATTGATTAATTTATGTTATAATAATTTATCATATTTTTAAAACTATTAATGTCAAATAAACAAAATTCATTAAGAAAACAGATATAACAAAGTTTTCGTTAATTATAAATATACCCTAAGAGAATGTGCTAAAAGATTTAATATAAAATTAAATTATTAAAAAATATAACACATGGTAAAATCTTTCTTTCTTAAAAAGTAAAAAAGAACTTGATAAATTGGACAACAGTAATGTGGGTAAAAATATTCGTCCCAACATTGCCTATATTAGACAGGTTTGACTGATTTCAGTTACATTTAAATAATAACTAATTGCACTATAAGCTACTTATTATTTTGTATATAACTCGGCATTTAGAATATAATCTTTTTTTGCAAATTTTAAAGAAACCAAAAATTATACGCATTCGAGTTTCTGTCATTATCCGATATTCGATTCAGTCATTATCCGATAATCGATTTATTCATACGAATATTTATTTGCTGAACGAATAAATTCGAATATTAGTTGAATAATTTAACAAACTTTAATGTAAATAATTATAATTATAAAGAAATTCTGATTACTAACGTAATTAATTAATTCTAAAAAATAATAGTAAACATAATAAATAAATTTCACAGAAGTTAGTAAGAAAAGTTTATTATAAAAAAGCACCCAATTATTAATATCGCGGGCGGGCAGCGAAAAAATATTTTAAAAATAAGAGACAGGCAAGCGAGTTCAAATAATTTAATATTGAGCGGGTGTGTGGTAAAAACATTTTGAGCAGAATTCAGTGCTATTGACATTTACGACTGACATGTTAAGATTTAACATTTTAGGTGATATTAACAATTATGACTGACTTGCATAGTTAAAATATGATATTACTAGTGATAATGTCATTTATGACTGATGCATAAAGATTATTAAATATTATACTTTCTATTG